AGTTGCTGAGTGTTTTTTTAGCTTGCTATTTAATCATAAATATTTTTTCGACAGACTGGATGAGTGTTTACCAGAATCTACCAGGTTAAATACACCAAAACGATTGTTTTATGTTACTCTGCCGGCAAAGGAACTCGAAGCTGGTTTCCCTCGCATTGTGCGACTAAGAGAACAATTAATAGTATTAAGCCACGTATTACTAGGCTATTTATTAAAAGAAAAACAAGCCTAGGACAAATATGTCCAAATTCTAGTTCACTTGAAGATTTCTATACATTTGAATGGCTTTGTGTAACATGCCTTACACTGACAGCTTACAGATCTGATTTTTATTGCATCTTTTGCGTTCCAAGCTGTTTCATCAGCCTTTAAGGTTTTAGTTGCAGTCTTATTGTTCTATGGTTTGAGGACAGCAGTCACACGTGTCTAAATCTTCCGAATTTTTCGGGCGCATTACCAACCAGTAAACTAGGCGCGGGTCAGGAGTGAATCAGTTGGGAATCTAACCTAGACTTCCTACATGGCGGCTGGTAAGTATTCTACTACTGAATTATCGACACCTCCAACCGATGACGGGCATTCTATACTAATCACACTAAAACAAAACAACTTCATATTTAGGTGTTTGACCTTATAAATAGTAATGGTATTAACACTACTCTTATCATTGTAATTACTCAATTGTCAAAATAAGAGATTAAATCGTTATGAAAGCACCATGCCTATCCGTCAATTTCTCATACTTCCCAACCAGTAGGACTTAAACTAGACATTGAAATTCAATTAACTAACACAGAAGAGAAAAATTAAACAAGACAACACGATTGTTTAATCTAACGCCAGAATTAAAAAAAAACAAATTAGAAGAGTGTCAGTTTCAGTTTCAAATAAACTTCACATATACACACATACACCCAATCTATCTAGTGTGGAATATAGTGGACATATGTGTTATGTATTCAGATGAATAAATCTACAGGAATACTGATATTATGAGTGAAAACACAGGAAGGCTGGTGGAGTTCTATTTAAAAAGAATATTACATATAATATATGCATTTAAAAAAGTAAGTACAGAGACAATAGTCAATAAAAAAAACTATATTTCGACTTGTTAAACCTGACTGCTACGACCAGAACTTTCATGTACTACTATTATGAACCACACCACCAAACTGAAAATAACGCGTGACTTTAAAGATGGTCCTCGCAACCAGAGATATCTCATAGACGTTAACAATGAAGTGTACAAATGGTATCATCTTCCCCATATATATGAAATAAACAATACATCAACAACCTGAGATTTTGACTGCACGAAAAAAGCCTCTATTTATTAAGTTACAATTTAATGGTGACTTATCTAGTGAGACTTTGTTCCAGAGACTAACCAGGAGTACACGGAGAACGTTTCACGCAGCATACCTATGTTCGTCCTTCTCTAGCCGATGAATGATTGGAACACAAACGAAGGATAAGCTAGATAGTTTTGCCACATCTATGTGCATTTATCAATTCAACTGCACCTGCGGTGACAGTTATGTTGGGAGTACTACTAGACAGCTTAGCCAACGTGTTAGTGAACATCTCCCATCGTGGTTTGGTAAAGGACAGACAAAAACAATCCGTAGCTCCATTTTATCACATTTAATTGATAGTGGTCATGTAGTGATGAAAACGAGAGCTTTCAAAGTAATTCATCGTATCCCACCGAATCTTTCAAATAGACTTCGTATTCGTCTACTGCACACAGTGGAGGAGGTAGGCATTCGAACTATTAAACCCAAACTATGCATTCAAAAGAAATTCGTACAGTCATTGTCCCTTCCTTGGCCTATTAAGACATAACCAACTAATGACTTCTACACCACCCCTTGTTTACATTTTAAACCCCTTTCTTATCATCCCTTAATCTTATTACATCTTCATTATAAACGTGTCTCATTTACTTCCCTTACAATCAGTCTAACATTACTAAATCGGTTCATTTGTTTTTACTAGGCTCTATCAACTACTTCCATCTGAACATTTGTTTGTTTAACCATGCTGTTTTTTCAATATTCGTGTTATCATAGATTGCCTCACTTTTTCATCCTTATTAGTGATAAAACCATTATTCTTATTATTACTATCATTACTACTACTACTACTACACCAACATATGTTAAAACCGCAGCTTCTACAGCCAGTTGGAAAGTTGTTATGATTACCATTAGTCACTCAAAATTGATCCAATACATACTGCTACTATGATATCGATGTCTGATACTCCTACGTAGTGCACACAGTAACGATCCTAAAAGAGATCGTACTTTTACAGTCTGATTCTGACGATCTACGATTACCAATTTCTATTGATTTCACTCATCAGTAGATCGAAAGTTTTTTTAAACTCATTTAAGCACGAAATTATAACTGAAAACTGTCAAAACACGAGCTGTTTACTAGCGCTGTTTTTGGTGGGACTTGACTTCCAACCCGTACGTTACAAGTTCACACCTCACCACTTCCTTCTACTGAGGGGTTTAGCGGCCAGACAGTCTTCGCATACAACATACTTGGCTTAATAGTCAAATATGCATGTTGTAAGTGTATTTTTTGTTGTTGTCATAGTATTATTATTCGCGCCATTTTTGTACTTGTCAATAAAAAATATAAATAAGAATCATTTATCTCCCCTAGTTTCTTAATAATAATAATAATCAACATAAAATGAAAATTAACCACTGTGTGTGTGTGTGTCTGTTTGTATATGCTTGAAAGAGCAAAAAAGGACCAATGCGTAAGAAAACAGCTAAGATACATTTAGAAAACAACTGGGAGAGAACACACAGAGAAAGAGAAGGAGACAAAGAAAAACAGGAGAACGAAGTGATAATAATTTCTCTACCACCTCCTGCATACTTTCCTCGTTTATTGCCTAGTCTGTTATGCTCTCTGAGAATTTCCTAAACCCTGTATGCAATATACGTATGCGTGTTGTTTCATTTTTATCCTTGTTAAATTTCCACTTTCTTGTTACACTTTATTACTTAGCCTATAAAATATATAAAAGCTTTGCTTTGCTTCACTTTGCATTTTGTTTTCATCAGCATCTCTTTTATATGTTTACTTACACGCAAAAATAAGGAAACGGATGGAAATATCATTAAGTTGAAAGAATGTATATATATATATATAAATCTAGGCAACCAAAAATCGTGTTGTACTACTTTTCTTTTTATTTGCTAAGATTATGATATATTTATTTATATGCCCCCGAAACTAAATTAATTCAATAATGAATGTTGAAGGTTAAAACAGATTGAAAAAGACGATGTACCACAGAGAGAGGAAGAGAGAGAAAATGTGACATTTTACCGATTACCTTCTTTCAATGATTATTTCAAACATTTACTAAACTAATTGAGCTGTACTAGAATTAAGTTACTCAGAATAGATTTCTACTTTACCAAGTCATCAGCCACATATCTTGTGTGTGAGAGACGATTATACTATTCAGTTCCATAAGCTGAAGTGTATGGAACAGGATTCGAACCCTGGATCCGGCGTTGAAGAAAGAATATGTAAGCCAATGAACCATACATCACTATTTGAGGTGTTCATGATATTAGCAGCTTTCAATCTGAGAATCATTAATTGCAAGTCATATTTTTTTAAGCGGATGAACTCCACAAACACATCTTCACGAACTCCTAAAGTGACTGAATAAACTTATGAAACATATGAAAAAAAACCCGGATTGATGAGCAGTATGGGGTTAAGTTTGTTACGGTAGTGAACACACTGATTAGATGATAGAAATCTGGACGTTCTTCAGGTGATCTACTCACCTCAGTAAAGACCAAACGTTCAACGTCTGAATTCCTCATCAGATCATTGCTTTTCACGGCCATGTTTTGCCAGAATTCAGTGAGATAGAGAGCAAAACACTTAGCATTACTCACCAATATTAATAGATAGTCAAGCAATTTGTTGTGAAAGCTAAATCAGTTGTGTTTGAATGTAAAGAACTTGTTAGCCATCTAAGGAAAAGAACTTATTCAACTTTCCAAGTGAACTAAGTGATAAACTCAACCACGTCACTCTCAGTATTAATGCAAACTATGCGAAGGTGGGCTGAAAACTAACCTGATTAAAATAATGAGCATGTAAATTTGATTTCAAACTATTATCAAATTGCAGAACTATTGAAAGGCAAAAAGTAATGAGCAGTTGTATCTTGGGGACTAACTTTCCAGTATCAAGTTTGCATACAAAAAAACCCCCAGTAAATCAGTATAACGAATGATAATTATATCCACTCAAATTTGCACAATATGCAGGTACGCACAAAAATACGGAGAAACTGGACAAATAATATCATGAAAATATTATCCGGTGGATGATGACTAGCAGTGGAATTCGGAAGGTGCATTTTGTCCTATTCGGGACTCGTCATCTGGATGCACTTGTGAATAATGGTGTTCCCACTGAGAATGGAACCCAGGACGCTTCACTTCAAATGCCAAAATATTATCTACTAGACCATTTGGGCCAAGAGAGCCGCTGCTAGTTACCATCCACCGAATAACATCAATATGAATCCTCGGGCATTTTCGAAGCATCCCCATACTATGGTATTCGACATATCAACAGAAGCTGAACATTTTGTATCAATCGACCAGCGGGAAAAACAAAAAAAAAACTGACTTTAAAAAAATTATGAAGAAATGTTCAAATAAGTATGATCAAACAACAACGTAAAGTATTTCTCGCTAAAAATGGTAGATTTATCCTTTGAAAGCAAAATATAGGCTATGCATATATATATATATATATATATATATATATATATATATATATATATATTTTTCCAAGGTAAACAGAGTTTTAACGCTTGTTTACTGATTACAAAAATTACGAAACTCTCATAAATTCATTGAATGAAGAGATATTCAACAATATAACAATGCGGGAAAAAGAGTAACAATCATTTAGAGTTAAAGAAAAAAACTTACTAGTGTCTGCTTCAAAAAGCCTTTTGTACGCTTACGCTTCGGTATACCACATCGACGAGCTCGTTTATACGTCTGTTCGAGTAGTGGATCAGTTCCAGGACTCTGTGATTCACTCAGCTTAGTAAATTCCTGGGAGAAGATTGAAAACAAAAACATTCAAATAATTATACTCAGGATCATTTGAAAATATAAAATTTGCTAGAAATTAAACATCAATCGAGCACAATTGTACAAACAGTCGATTAAGTAGGGAAAGAGATCGCCTTGGGGGAATTTTACTTCACAAATCAGTGATCAAAGGCGTTATAAGAGAAAGCAGAATATGCGATTATTTTAGTTCTCCTCAGGTAAGGAGAGTGCACCAATGATCACCTACTTTCACCCCCAACCATTTTCAAGACAGTTCAATTTCTTGGATTTAAGCGTCCATAGAGTATTTCAACTGTCAAACAAATAATGGCATATATACATATATTTATATGATGCAAATTGCAAAGCGCTTACATATTCTTAACTTTACCATTTGCTATTTAAATTAAAAATGCTTTTAAAAGCAAAGAATGGAAGTTAACTCATAGAATCACGTAATTACACCGTATGAAATGATTTAAGATATGTACTACACATGCAGAATGCCAGTTTGCCTGGAGGAAGTATTGTTTTCCAGGTAAAATGATATAAACAGAAGAATAAATTTAAACAGATCAAGACAAAACGCTTATGCATGAAGTAAGAGTGAGAATTGACTGCTGTGGTAGGTGTACAATGTGATATCTTACCTTTAGATGAATAACATTTCGAGTTATTTTTCAGAAAATTAACATTTTTTTATTTTTACGAGTTTGATCAAGGATTGATATCAGTTAGAGAACCATTGAAAAACCAGCCACAGGGAGTAATCGAAAGCTGTTTCATCCTATTTGGGAGATCATCGTCAGTACACACCCACCACCAGGGATCGAACCCATAACCTTCCGGTTACAAGGCAAGCTCATATATCATTCAGCTACTGGGACACCATTCAGTGGCCAACTCATGAATTTTAACTTCTACCAATTCGTGATTTAGCGCGACCACCAACCAACGTCACCGGTGGGATATCCATCCTCACACTTGACTGGTTGGACCTCACTGGCCATTGAATCGGGTTTCAGTGGCTGAATGGTATACGAGCTTGTCTTGTAACCAAAAGTACTGGGTGTGCACTGACGACGATTCCCAAACTAGGATGAAACAGCAGCTGTCCAATACTCCCTGGTTTTCAATGGTTCTCTAACTGATATTAATCCGTGGCCAAACTAATAAAAAAAAATTCAATCCCTACAAACCAACTCTTGAATATTAATTTTTAATAATAATGAAATTTAAAAGCTGATATTTTGTAAATCCCAACAATTTATGGCACAAAACAATCAACACCCAAGCTCACTCGTGATATTAGTCCTTGTTGGTAAATGATTAGCACCAAATGTAACAATTTTTTTCTGAGTTTTATGAAACATATGTCGAAGCTTCTAAAGGACAGTGAGTAATTGATGAATCGGACGGTTCGTGGTAAGTCAATGTTAAAATCCTTTAAAATAATTTAAGTATTAGCAGTATTATTTACTATTTTCTTACTGTGCGTCCCGAGTGGAACCATAGGGCTTCAAGCTTAAGCTTTAAAGTTTCAGTAGCAGTGGGTTTTTTTACGGAGTGCAGTTAGTAGCCTCACGCCCAACCTTCTATCCCTTACGGGCATACAACCAGTTAAGGGAGGTGAAGGTGTGTGGCGGCAAGAAACTGGACCCCCAGTGGTGAGTATTCTACCACTGAACGAATACCGACACACAATTTTTTTTCTGTTCTTCCTTTATCTATTGGTATTTCATTATGCTCCTGGTTCCATGAAATTTGGTGGTTTTCTCTATCAATAATGAGACAGGTAAAATTCTAGATTGATTTTTTTTCATTTCCATTCTAGGGCAATAGCTTTAGTAGCTGAGATATGCACTAAAACATCATTCTAGACTTGGGACGGAGTGAGAAAAGCGGATAAATGACATGACGACATTGGATGAAGGATAGTTGTGTGGGTGTGTATTTGCTGATGCATCACGACACCACCCTTGGATCAAAGTCTGAGTGACTCAAGGCGTTACTGAATATGACTAAGAACCGAAACCAATGGAGAACAACCTGTGATTTCCTTCTTCATTTTCTTCCTGAAATTAACATGAAGTAATGAACGCAACTTGCTTTTTGTATGATACTGTCTCTTAGTCACCTCATTCCTCTTTTCCTTAAACTGTTTTTGAATTATCTTTACTACGTATATTTCTTCATGCCTAGATTGTGTTTCAAATAAATAGCAACAAGAAAATAATTATTTATTTATTCTATCCTAATGATCCAGTTCAGTGTATTCACACACTGTGAGAAGCATGTTGCGGAGAAACAGTTTTTCAGCGACTGCATTCTTAATTGGTGGATGGTGACTAGCAGTGGAATGCATATTTCTCCCTATTTAGGACTCGTCATCTGGACGGGAAAATCTAAAATTCAATTAAATGATTTCATTCTTAGTTCACGTTCCAGTACCACAGACGAAGTTACGACAATAGATGACTGACTAGCTGAGTTTTCAACGTAGAACCATGTACAAAAGTACAGCACTTCGAACTACTACACTTCACTTAGCAAACCTAAATATAACGAAAAGAAATGTAATGAAGGTGTCTAACGCTTTAACCTGAATAGTATTCACCACATAATATCATCGAACATAGGAAGGAGAAAAGAAACACCTATAGTCAGGGACAACTGGTTTCTTTATATATTCCATTTTTAACGGTCATGTCTCAACCGTAAAAAAAAAGAACAGAGAGAACTGACACCAAGTACGCACATCTTTCCATAGCATATAACACCTATATCAAAGGAGATGTAAGCTGGAAAATACCAGATAAGTCTTTTGCATCCATGATGAGATTTAGTCATCAATATCAGTCCATTAGGATTGATGTGATAAATACAATAGTATCATAAATAACATACAAAAGATCACTTACTTAATACTAACACCTACTCAGTGTATAAATATAATTGTCGAGTTAAATCGGTAAGTAATGCATACTATTGTAAATATGTCATAGTAGAATTAAAGTAAATTGCTACTGCCATATTATTTTACTGTATAATATAATGCAAATAACAATCTCTGTGTTTAGTAATGCGACATATCGAATGGGTCTGTCAGCATATATATATATATATATATATATATATATCGTTTCAACAAAGAACTATGCACCGATGTGCAGCAGTTCGAGTCACCACACTCCATGTAACACAAAAAGCAACAGAAGGAAGTAGAAGAAATGAAAATAGAAACAGTGGACAAGGATATGAAACAAAACAAATAGTAATAACAAAGAACAACATAGTTTCATTGGAAATTATAAGTCACAAGGAGTGAACGCCTCTATGCCAACCATTGAGAACGATTTTGAGCCATATCGCCAGTTGTCTCCAGCCTTCATTGGTTTAACCGTCCCAAAGACCCAAACCAGTCAGGAAGTCTACACCTCCCTACGTGGCTAGTTTAAACTAACTGTTGTGGATTTCACTGACTGATGAAGCCGTGTTTCGGTTTGACCATCACTGGCTATTTACCAACCTGATCAATCCTATCTCAGCTAACATTGTCCATTGTCGAGGAAGGCGATGACATACGTAACCAAACCATATGCATATGTAACCTAACCATCTCAGTCGATGTAATTTCACAGCCTCGTTGATTGGTTTTCCTTCCTACCTACCTAGAACTCGACTGAATCCTGACCTCAATATTGCTAACCCTGTTATACCACTTCACACGGGAGAGAGAACGCAGTCATCTATGACCAAAGACAGCAAGCCTCTTCATGTCTTCCATTCTCAATGGCCAGGTCTCACAACCATAAAGGAGGACAGGGTGGACTGCTGAGCAGTACACACGCCCTTTGGTCGATAGCCGACGGGATATCACGTCTACACCAGAAGTGGCGTAAACTGGAATACGCGAAACTAGTCCTTTGTATCCGTGCAGAGATTTCGTCGGCGATAATCCCGTTGGGACCGGCTGATGCAACTTCTCAAATAAGCGAAGTGGTCAACGTGCTCTACCACTTCACTCTCTATTTCTAAGCTAGGAATGAGTCAATGTAGTCCAGTCCTGTAGCATCATCTTACATTTGGCGGGAGCGGATCGCATTCCGAACATTCGTAGATTGCAGCTCAAGGTGTTCAGAAGACTCTGCATTTTGTCAGCGTCTTCACCTAGGAGGCGGAACTATAACATTTGCATATTCTAAGTCAAATGGGTGGTCTTAAAGGCTGTGTTTATGAATACAGAATCATTACACTGAAACAGTTTGCCTTCCATGTGTTTGCTGATTATGGTGTCTGACTGACATATAATTGTGTTTGGCTTTAAGAAATGAAACAGCTGACAACTGTTTAAAATAAACACACAAAAGTAACCTAAAAACAATAAATCTTGTATCCATTAAAGTCTTTACAGGAGGTGAATCGCGAACCCGAATATCTCAGTGGTAAAATCTCTGGCTGTACTACCGGGAGACCCAGGTTCGAGTCCTACAGAGTGGGGAATAAGTTTCTTGAAAACTAAAGATATAACTTGCTGAAGAGTGATAACAAGTACGAAATCTGGGTCCAAGGCTTCCTGCAGATTGCCTCTAACATCATCTTGTTTTTTGACCATATTCGCTTGGTAAAATTTCAACGAAAAACAAAGTCAGTGGGAAGAACGTCCATCTAACCAATTTTCGTTTATTTTTATTTTTGGTGTAATGCATATGTAAAGTTGTGGGAGCAACCAATCAACGCCAAGGGACTACCAGCACAGACACATTTCATCCATGGATGATTCCACAAAGCCCACTTCACATTAAACTTTATTTCGAAGATGTTGCCCACAAGGACAGTATTTATCTAGCTCTGGGGACACAGTGACACCAAAAGCATTCAATTCACTATAAAGTTCGTCAAGGTATCTACGTGGGATAGAACTGGCAATCGGTTTATGTACGTTACCCCGTATTTATGTCAATAAATGATATTCAGAAAACACTTTGTGCACAATTTAT